AAAAGAAACCGAGTGATGTAGCGTTGCACGCTTGACTGACAGCGAGCGAGATAACATAGGCGCAGCAATGAATCCAAGACTGACTGACACTTGTGGAGAATTTACTGTATTATCAACGGTCTTTCGACGTCACAACGTGCGTTGACCATTGAAACAATACAATTCAACGGGATTCGGTACACTGCTCCAAAACCTCTACGATTCATTTGTCAATCGAGATGTAAAAAGGAGGTTTCGGAGCAGCGTTGACTGGGTGACACATATCGCAAACACGTCAATATCACACCTCCAGAAACTCAAATACTTAAATTACAAACCACATTATCTGCACTGTATCTCGAAATCATCGAGGATTACAACGAACCTCGCTCACCAGAACTTTGTCTCATATAACCCATCAATTATCGCAACCAGTAACCTCTATCGTTCCGTTTCAATTAGTATCTTCTACGCGTAAGTGAAACAGATACAACAAATAGTCAGACGAATCTAAACACGTTTCGTCATCAACGACACCCAAATATACGGGAAGTTTCTTCCAATGTTTCTTTAAAAAATTATTGAAAGGTGTACCTTATTCATGATGAACATTGGATGGTGTACCTTATTCATGATGAACAAGTTCCTGAAACCAAATTTGCCTGATAGAATATTAACGCGTTCAGACCGGTGTGATCCACTGGTGGGTCATCTATGCTCTTATCTGCTGACATGACCCACCGATGGGTCACTCAAAATGACGGCAAAAAAGATTGATCCACCGTTGGATCACTACATTTTCAGATTACACATTGAGAAATTAAGTGTTAATGATAATACACACTTGGGTCGTAAGAAACGCTGGCAGCAATGAGTGTTTCGTGAATTTCGCTGCCGTCGCGGACGTGTTAAATAAAACTAAATTATCTAACGGCTGATGTAGGATTCTTTTATCTGATAGTCTCGAGAGGAATACTTTGAAGTCTCACATCTGTTTAATTTTCAAATAAAAATTTTTAAATTCATTATTCTCGAAACCTTATTATTACATCTGGTATGCCTAGTTTCCAGGCTTTTAGATACTCTATCACGGTGTTTACACAGAGCTCAGGAAAAAGATCTGACGATTTTGCTAGGTAAAAGATTTTTATACTAAGAATAAACATATTGTATAATAGTAAGAATTCCAAAAGAAGCCGAAGAAAACACTTGAATGATATTGTGTTCCATAATTAACGTCGTGAAGCAGAGTTTATGCTAATCTCGAATAATTTGTGTTTTATTTCAATTATAAGATGTGACACTCAGTTCGGATAATCTTCTATTATCTTTTATAATTTAGATTCGTTTAACTAATCTAAGAAAAGTGACCTTTACAATTTCCTTCGAGATTCCCACAAATTACAATTTTTTCAAAATTTCGTGGACACTCATCTAGTAAACTAATTCCTCTAACTTCTCAACAAAACTCACGCCGTTTGGTACAATTTTTAAAAAGTTATACATACCGTTCTAAAGAGCGGCCGGATATTAACGAACGCAACTGTATGTAAATTTCAAATTTGTGCGATTTCATTTTCAAGGTGTTGCAATTCTTTTGGCGAGCAGTGTTCCATTGATTAATTGCAGAAACAGTGCGTTATACCAGACAAAATAAAAAATTCTCAAATGAGTTTTCCTGCTTTCGTCGAGTTCTAGAATAGTGTTTCACGCGTCTCACAGTTAATTACAAAGTGACAGAATGGCGTAATTAAGATCCAAATTGTTTAGGGGTTTGAAGATTCTAAGAAGAAGCTGAGTGAACATGTGTCTTACGCATTCCTCAAGTAAATTCTCCCGGCATTTCTAGACGGAATGCGTGGTTCTTGTATGCAACTAGGCAAATGTCTAATTTGCAAGAAATTGCGGTTACCAGGAAAGACAGCGATACACTGGCAAGAGTGAAATAAAACAGATACTCTGGTACAAACGTAGTCAAAAGAGAATTCAGGATTGTTATCGTTCTTTTTCAGAGATTTCCTTCAAAAGTACTACGATCTCGACACCATTGTCTTTCAGTTCCGTATTGCTGTCTATGTGCAGATAAGTAACAGAGATTCCAACGATTGAATATTTCATTACTTAACGCAGTTCAAAACGAAACTCGTATATTCATTTAAAAGAGAAAATGTTGAACAGTACCATAATTAAGATGAAATAAAAAGTGTTTGAAAATTATTTTTGTGAATATTTTAATTCAAAATATCCTTAAGTATTTATAATAATTATAGATATTCATTGACACATAATTAGAAATTGAAAAAATATGTAATTAACGTATTTAAAAAAAGTGAGCCTGTGCAGGAGTTGAACCTGCGATCAAAGGTGATAGCAAGCGGTTTTCACTGTATGAACCAATCTGGTGGGAAAAGAAGTTACTTCCTCACGTGAAGTTCCTTGAACAAATCAATTTTTAATTTTTTCAACCATGACGCACCATACCACAAAATCTGAACAAATGTGAGGATAATAGATATGTTAAGGTGCTGCTACTAAAACAATATAAAAAAAGCTATGTTAATATCTCAAAAGAAATCTGCAATTGCGGTTTTCATTTTTAGTTACTAGAATTTCCAACGAAAAAATCGGAAATTATTCCCTAATATATGCCTCCGTATCTGCAATGTGCCAGATTTTTTTCAAAATTTTTTCGTATCACTAAATAAATTTTTCCCTGTAGTTAGATACTTCTCCCGCAGAAATAGAGAATTGAAACATACTACCTTTTGGCAAACTATCGAACGGTCCATCTAAAAACCAATTTGGTTTAAAAGGTCACCTTTGACCCCCCTATCTGGCTATAAAACTCATTAGTTGTTAATGCTCGTGGTTGTGGCGATGAACTTTCAAGCTTTGTGGATGTTTGCACGATATTGTGCCGTCTAGATACTGCTTCGAAGGACCACCCAAATGATTGGAACTTGTAAAAACTGATCTATTCCTATCGCGTGATGTGAGCTGGTTGCTCCTTGGGTCTCCTTGTTCGTGGTGGTTGAACGACTACTCGACGACTCACTCTCCGACGTCGCGTCTCGGACGTCCGTGAGAGGGATTTTTGTTGGGACACGCTGATTGGTTAATGGTTAACACGTTAAACGCCCAGCCTGTTTTGCTTACCGTTCCGTTCAGGCCACACTTGGCCGTGGGCATGCACACAGTGGGCCATGCGAACTATAAACAGAAGACGGCTAACGAAAAGTATACTGTCAGTCGCCGGTGACTGACATGGCGTTTAACGTGTTAACGATTGCATTTGCCAATCAGCGTGTCTAATATCGTCTTTGCCGCCCTTCCAGTGCGCCCTTAGCGCGTTGTCACCTTGGAATGGTGGGAGACGGTCGCGTGGGGTGGGCGGAAGGTCCCAAAAATCTGGAATTTCCTCCGGGTGACTAATCGGCAAGCGGACCGTTACATACAGATGTGCCGTTCGGAAATTCGTGGTTTATGGTATGTTCGTAGGCTATTGAGCGCGAGGGACACAAATTACTAAAAATCTAGCAAAGCAATTCTAGTGACCCTCGGAGGATGTAATTAGACCCTTTGCAAGCAATAAACGAAAATCCTCAACTGAAAAATAACCGTTCCCGGTCGATCGTGCCATAAACCGTTTCTACAGAAAACCTAACATTGGTATTTATTATACAAAAGCTTACACGTGCACATATAATCACTTTCTTCAACGTGCGTGTGAATAATTTTCGTCTGGTGCTAATTGTGCGAAACTCGAAACGTGACAACTGTGCATGGTTACAAATAAATGAACGTTCTCTGTTGCCGAATAATTTCATTTGTTAGCTCGTTAGCTTTCAGCGCCATTCGTACATTACTTCATTGGATTAATCTTGTTTATTGGAAAATACTTGAATGGAATAAGTTATATCGCGTACACGCCTAATGCAAACATATCGTTTCTCCTACATTACCATTAGAAATCTAATTCGTACGAAACATGCTTTCGACTGTCAAATGATTTGGAACTTCGAAATGGTGAATACCATAATGGTGTTAATAACTCGAACTTTATAAATATGTGCTCGACTCAGAAGGGAAAATGTCACTGAAAGTAAATACTTATGCAATTATAACTGCTGCAAATTAAACAATAATACATGACAAATTAATTACTGCAGAAAGATATCATTAGTGAATTATAATACATACAAGCATGTTCTCATTGAATTGAGAAAATTACTGTTTCAATTGATAATTAATTAAATATATTATAAATT